CCAACAAAATAAATAATTATTATCTTTATAAGAAAATTATATTATTAAACCAAATATAAATTACTTCGTTATTGTACATAAATTAAATTATAAAAAATTGAATTAAAAAATTACACAAAAAAATGAGGAATTTCAAATAGTTAATTTGATATTAATATCGATATATTTTTGTCAAATTTTTATGACATCTTCAAACATATATTTTATTCAAAAATAAAAACATCATCGCTTTTTCAAAATCATATAAAGTCATATTATAACATTGATTGAGATAAAGAATAAAATAAAATATGTATTTCGCTGCATTGCACGAGTACACTTCTAGTGTGTATATATATATATATATATATAATAGAAAACACAGACAATAAAATTTGTTCAAAATAAAAAAAGTACAAGACACCACACACAGACACTCATTTGACATAATTTAGAAGTTGAAAAAATGAAAAGGCAAAAAAATAGAAGAAATGAGAGTAGTATTATATATGATGATGATTGTGCATATGGTACCCTGATCATCCCTCTTCTCCTCTCTAAGTGGTGTAATCATATATATATATGCTGATGGAAATTCATGAATTTAGCCCTTAATGCAATCAATTGCATTGCACCCAATTTGCATTATTATTATTCCTCTCCACCTAACAATAACCATTTCTAAGAAATTATCACACTCTAATATATATATATATATATATATATATATATATATAAACTTTGGATCATGTAAACTAGTAAGACTACATTTTTACATTTGAAACTCTGCAGCACCTGTGAATGTAACTTTTACAGTGTTTTTGCTGTGAAGATACAACATTTTTTACTTTCACAGCATTTTAATATGAAATTTCAAGTGTAAAAAGTGATCTGACGAAAACAGATTGGTCTCACATGAACCCAACTCACATGTGTGTGTGTATATATATACATTAATACATTATCCATCTAAATTCAACATTAGACTTAGAAACTAGTTCATGCATGTGTGTTTCTATGACAAACAAGACACGGAAGATATAATTCAAAATGGTTAAATTTTATTATGAAGAGCGGGATAATAGATAATCAAGATAATTGTTTCTTGAAACTCTTGTTTCAAATTGTTATAGACAACTCAACAATACATCATGCATGTGGGATACACGTATTTCCCATTCATATATATTATGATAACATACTATATATATATATATATATATATATATATATGGAATTTAGCGCGTGTAACATCCTTAAAT